GATTGCCATTGGATCATTTCATGCTGTTGAGAAGGGGATTACTGTGATCTGCTCTGCAGGGAATGATGGCCCTTTTGCTAGCACCGTTGTCAATGCTGCGCCTTGGATAATGACTGTTGCTGCTAGCACCATCGACAGAGATTTTCGCTCTGATCTTTTACTGGGCGGAAACCAAGTGGTTAAGGTAACTAAGTATATTGTATAATATCATTAATATATGATATGAAAAATTATTATGGTTATTACTTTGTCTCTGGTTTTCAGGGCGGAGGCATAAACTTTGCCAACATCGGCAGCTCCCCTGTGCACCCACTAATATATGGAAAGTCAGCCAAGAAGGCTGAAGCTTCAGATGACGATGCAAGGTATATATATATAACTAAGATCGAGAATTTCATACAAAGTCAAAGTTCATCATAGCTCCCAGGATGACCCAGATTGTAATATGACATACATGAATTTTGTTTATATCACTCAGGAATTGCGTCCCAAGTACCCTGGACGACGAGATAGTGAAGGGGAAAATTGTTGTATGTGATAACGATAATGGAGGGATAAAAGAACAAAAGCGGGATGTAGTGGAGGGTCTTGGAGGCATTGGTATAGTTGTGATTGATGACGAGCAAAGATCTGTTCCATCAAAGTATACATTCCCAACGACTGTGATTAGTACCAAGGATGCAGCAGACATCTACTCCTATCTCAATTCAACCAAGTAATATTTACCAATCCAGCGAATTAGACCAAGTTTATAGATAATTAAATCAAATGATGAAACAATTTCTAACCATCAGGGATTTTGAAAATTGGTATGCAGAAATCCAGTTGCAACAATCTTGCCAACTTTCACTGTATCAGACTATAAGCCAGCACCTATTATTGCCTACTTCTCTTCTAGGGGACCTTCATCCATCACAACCAACATTCTTAAGGCAAAATTAAAATTCTCACATTACATACAAATTGTGATTCAAGACTGAAGGAATTTTGATACCATGGAATTGATTTTGCAGCCTGATATTACCGCACCAGGAGTTACCATACTCGCGGCATGGACAGGTAATGACACAAAGGCAGGTCCTGAAGGGAAACCCCCTCTATTCAATGTCATTTCAGGAACCTCAATGGCAGCTCCTCACATTTCTGGTGCGGCTGCCATTCTTAGATCACGAAATCCCACATTCGGTCCTTCTGCAATTAGATCAGCCATCATGACAACAGGTCAGTAATCTTAATCAAATCTCCATATGCTCGACTCATAACCATTCAGATAATGTCTTCTCATCCAATCTGCAGCCATTCAACTGAACAATTTAAAGGCACCGATAACAACAGAAAAGGGCGTACCAGCCACACCTTACGATTTTGGAGCAGGTGAATTAAGCACAACAAAATCATTGGAGCCAGGGCTGGTGTACGAGACCACTACTGTTGATTATTTGAACTTCCTTTGTTACTACGGATACAATATTACCACAATTAAGACAATTGCAAAAGACACTCCAGATGATTATGGGTGTCCAGAGAATTCCAGTACAGATCTGGTGTCGAATATGAACTACCCATCGATTGCAATATCCGGTTTGAGTGGGAAAGAGAGTAAGAGAGTGAATAGAACGGTGACAAATGTAGGTGGAGATGGTGAAACAGAGTATAGTGCAAGTGTTGAGGAAGCTGCAGGGGTTAAGGTGGAGGTGGTGCCAGCGAAACTGCAGTTTAACAAAAATGGGGAGAAGAAGACGTATCAAGTGGTTTTCTCGCTGAGTGGCGGTTCGGAACTTAAAGAAGATGTGTTTGGAGCGATTACGTGGTCTAATGGAAAATACAGAGTCAGGAGTCCAGTTGTTGTAAGCGTTAGTAAACCCAAACTAGTTTAGAATCATCAAAATTTCTAAACATATGGGATTAATCTAATTAAAGGGCTTATCTGATGTGATCACCCGAACAACAAGCTCAAATGATAGTGAAAATCTGCTTTAATTGGAGAAAGAAATGGCTCTTATCAAAACGATGTCGTTCTTCGGAAAACATTCAGTTGTACCACATTCTGTAATCAGAAGTCTCTTTTAACCCAAATGGTATTCAAGGTTTTTTCTTTCTTTTCTTTTTTGTGAATAGATATAAATGGTAGTCGTAGTTATTTGGCTTAAGTACATCCAACATGATAGTAGATGTTGGTAGTATTTGTAAAACTACAAACACAACTCATCGCCCAAAAGTGTTAGTTCTTGATATTTTTGGAGCTTTAGACCATAAACATACACCATATTTTCTCCAATAACACTACTCATATAATGCAAGGTGTTACATTGTATTCCTTGCTAGGCCGGTTTCTTCCTTTTCGGTTGATAGGGTACGGGGGATGAGTTTCCCTGAAGGGATTCATGTACATGGCTTTATCCAAAACTTTTGTCTGATAGGGAGACAAATTTGTACATCCAAGGAAAGGAAAAAAGTTAGTAGAAAGCAAAGGGGCAGAAAGTTTAAATTTTCATTCAATAGTAATTTGGGATGCACAATCATGAAGATGACAACAACAAAGCTGTCTTGAACATGGAGACAGATAATGCAATTGGCAATATAATGTGAAGTAAAACAGACAGATAAGGACCATGTAAAATATATTGACATCATTAAAGATTACTTAAGGACATCATAGTTTGTAACAGGAGAGGATAGATGGACGGGAAACGGCAACAGCTGAGACAAGGATTACTACTACTTTACGGACAAGATTTCAAAAGTCAAACTATTAGACAAAAGCAGCCCAAGGAAAGAAAAACAGTTTTGTTCATCACCGTATCCTTCACTCAAAGGCCCACTGGTTCTCGCGCCGAACCTCCTCTTCTTCTTCTGGTGTGAAGTCATTCTTGATATTGAAGGTCTTGCGAATCTCTTCCGGAGTTTTGCCCTTGATCATGTCTGCCACGGTCTGGCAAGTAAGGTCCAGCAAGCTCTTTATGTTCAGATAGTTAGCAGCCTACAAACCATACAGGCAAACAACAGACTTACTCATTCTGTAGCAGAAGAGAGTTAGGCCGAGCACAATGCAGAACCAGGAGTCTATGCAATGGGAAAAAAGTGTTAAAGCCAAGTTTACGCACGGAAAATTGCATTGCAAATCAAAAAAGCAGGATTGGAGAAAGTAAGTCCAGCCCGTACACACAAACCTCATCATTCCAAAAGCGTTGATAATCCCAAAAAGATAAATGTTAAAGCAAACCGCAAGACAACTCTAATTATGAAGAATCGTTCAATGAGGTAGCCATAAGACAAATAACAAGTACCGCGAGCCCAAAAGCAATAACCAATCCTTCCGAAATACCTTGACGCCACTAAATGAAAATCATAATTTGTTCCAAATCATTAGCTTCATGGAAAAACTAGTTTCCCTTACATTCAACTAAAATATTGACAACAATTTCAATTCCTCACCAAATATTGTCTATCGCTTATCATTAAAAAGGAACTAGAATTATCACTCTAAGAAGCTTCTCGTGCAATTTAACATACAATTACCCCAACATATTTTTATACCCTCAATAAAGGAAGAAGGGAAGGTTTGGGGGAAGCGAAATTAAGCAGAAACCACAAAGACTAAACGAGATCCAAATCAACAAATGAATCAAGAGAGTAGTCAATCAATGAATATAAACCAAGAGCCAACAGACTCGATAGAAGATTAAAAGAAAAAAAGAAAAGCAATAGGGAAAAAAAAGAACAAACCAAAATGAGATCGAAGAGGGTAGCCTGATCAACTTTGACGAATTCAGCGTCCCATGCCTTGAGCTCATCGTCAACAGTGCTGGTGGTCCGATCATCTGATTTTGGAGACTCGACGTGCTTCTTGCAGTACTCAATTACCTTAGAGAGGATCTTGCTGGTAACGTTCGGAAGAGGGATGCCATTATCGGCGCAATCATCTTCTATCATGTGTTTTATGGTCTGAGATTCGAGCGCCACCGACTCGTCCACCTCGAAGGTCTCCCCATCGGAGCTCTTCAAGGTGATTTTCCTCGTCGACATGGTTTGATGGCTACGAAGAAGATTCCAGAAACCCTAGGACAAATGAATGGAGAGGAAAGGTAAGTGAATAATGGGTGTAGAAGGAGAATTACGCTTGGGGGAATGGGTATATATAGATGAGAGATTTGATTAGGACAAGAAAATCCAATTCCTAATACCTAATGGTTGAAGGTATCGTGTTTTCTCATTGATTATCCAAATCTAATCCCCTCGACGGAGATGTTAACAAACAATTAATTAATAAAATAATTAATTTGTTAGTTCTAATAATTAAAAGTTAATATTCATTAGTAAAATAATTAATTTATTTTATTTAAACTAAGTAGATAACAATAACAAACCTGAAAAAATAAAATATGAGAAATTATCTTTTATTTATTTATTTTTTAATTTCTAGTTATAAATAAAGACATTATTGGTTTTAATTAAATTATCTTTTATTTTGCCATTTATTTAAACAAAAAATATAAATAATTAATTTAATTATGTGTAAATTACAAATTAAACTTTTTTAATCAAATTATTAAAATAGTAATAGAATATAACTTAACCAAGAAAATAATTGATTGTTCATCAAACGCGTAATCAAATGAACATTGATCTCTCAGGTTATATACCAGAAAGGAGATTTAATTATGGTTTTCCAAATGCAGACAAGATTGCTGAAATCAACTTCAGATGGACCAGTTAGACCGAAGAGTAAGAGCGATTGTTCTTCCATTTTCATTGGCTACATAGGCAATGCCTGGCTTCAAGCTGAATCTCTTAGCTATATTCAATTTTAGATGGGATTCCACTTGAAATTGATCCCAGTTTTCGGGACCGCCGATCATCCCTCCGACACTCATGCCCCACCCTAATTCATCTTCAGAATTATCGGACAAGGCGATGCCCCACTCTACATGCTTTGGATTTGAGTTTTTCATCTCAACCCAGCCCCCAACTTTTGTACATTCATCAAGTTCTGATTCTAGCTTCAGGGAAATGAATCTAGTTGAGACAGTATCATCTGAGAGTGTTCCAACGGGTCCAACAGATGCTTCAACTCTCTCAGGAGCTCTATTATGTCTAAGAAGCCCTACGGGAATAGCAAGGGCTCCAAGACCGAAACATGTACTAGACAATTTGGGAACCTTGTGAAGACCCAAAAGAGAGAGTTTTGTTCCTCCAGGAAGTTGGCAGATTAGTTGCCCAAAGGTGCTGAAACAATGCCCAATGGCATCAGAGCCTTGTTGCATTTCCAGTCCGGAGATAGATTCAGCCAATGAAGCTACGATGTTTGACTTCTTAATTGTTAAGCCAATGGCGCTTCCTTTGTGCTGATTCAGAAGGGGCGGTCCAGACCATGAAAAATCACTCTCCCTTCCCTGCCAGATAAAAATATGGTCCAGGTTCACTCACTATAAGAAAAGCAGCCAGATCATCAAAAGCCAACAAGTTTCAGTGAACTGAGGATAAAGTAGAGCAATTTGAGCATCATCTTAGAACTAAATACAGTAGCCATACTGCAAGTTAACTGATCTGTTATTAAATCATCTCCATAACGACAAAAGAGGAGAAGACCTGCCACAAAGCCAATTTTTGTTCAACAATTAACATCAAACAGGAGCTAAAAAATCAACTGGAAGCTCAAAACAGGGAAAAAAGGACTGAGAAAGAGGAAACATGCGTTTCTATTTGCAGCCCAAAACTGCATAATCAAGCTCAGTGCAGAAGGCCACAATAAACACAAACCTACATAACCAAACAATATTAATAGATTCATACCTGAAGCAAAGAATTGGCAGCAAAATCAATGTCTCTGCATTGAGCTCCAACTGGGATAGCAATAGCAGAAAACCAATCACTAATATTTGCCATATAATACACTTTATTTAGTGAAAGTGGGCTTCCTGAGACATCAGTCAGGTGTCTGTTCCCTTTCTGATTGGCCACAAACTCAGCTATAAGAGTATCTTTCTGATGAATTGTTGTTTCAAAAGTAAACCTTGAATATATTCCAGGTCTGATCCCTGCTTTATCAAGTGCATCAAATTGCTGATGGTCAATATCATCCATCAACAATACAGCTCCAAGGACATCAAACTCTCCCCTGACATGGGTACTAGCTTCTTGGAATGGATTTCCTTTAAATGTTTTGTAAAAGGAAAGCATTTTCTCCACCTTGTCTTGTCTATCCCTGAGTTTCATCAGATCTGAAAATGCTTCTCGTTGCAACCGCTTCAAGATTTCAATCTGAAAATATCATCAGCGGAATAAAACCCAATGAAACAGCAGGTTGCTACCTACGAGACCAGCATAGTGTCAACACTAAAATCTAATGGAGATTTGCAATCATGCAGGAGGCATGAGATGAGCACTTAAGCAGAAGTTAGACAGCATGATTAAATTGACATGGTAAACAGCATAACAGATAAAACTGACAAAAATTATGCTTCTTGACACAAAGGCGAACTACAGTATCTAATGCATTCGCACATCTCTCTAGCCAGATAATATAAAATCACTGCCATAAAAAACTATATGCCGATGCACTTTATGATTCCAACGATTTTCGAGATATCTCCAGTATGCGAATGTAATGAATTTGACTTCAAGGCCCGACCTTTTGTTCCGCCCTGGTCCAACATATAAGAAACTTCTATCCAACCAAACCCGCATGTTAATACAGGAGGGATGACTTGAACCAATTGCTTTGGGCTAATCGAGTAAATTGATAGGTTACAACTTACCCTATGTGGATTGAAGGAAGTGAAGGAACAAAAGAAGAAAAAAAAATGCATGCAGTCTCTCATTAGTTCAGACAAACATAAAATTGAGCAAAGAAGGGATGGTGATCATCCCTAACATTTTTAAAAAAAATTTCTTTTTCAACTCATTTCACCCTTATTTGTCTAAAGTACTATTAAATTAATAAAGAGTATAATTAAGAATATGTTCATAGTTAATAATTTTCTTTATTAGACACACGAAGCAAAATGTTATAAATTATTCCCTCAGTTTTTAGTTTTGCAAATAAAATTGACATTTATTTTTGTTTCAGTTAAAAATGCTTTTCTTCCTCTCCTTTCATTTTCTTCCTATTCCATACTAATTTTTGTCCTGTTAATGCGGAACATTTCTCATCAGTTTCTCCTTCAAATCTCATCCTACTATATTAAGAACGAAGAAAAAAATTCAAGCCACCACCGACGCTCCTCTAGAAAGACTTAAGTAAAAAGCAATTTGGTCAAGCTCTCTGGCAATGATTAAACAATCAAACGGGAAACTACGTTAAAGAGAACCAAGAACACTTGAGCGCGCACAGCAAGCGACGGTAAAATACAGAAGAGATAGAAAGTACAAGTACCGGAATGCGGCGGGATAAATTTTGCCGGCGATAAAGGAGACCTTCAACCAAGTCTTGACCTGATTTAGCGAAACCTTTTAATTTATCCACCACTGAAGCTACAGGATCCATATGCAAACTCAAACGAAAAGCAGAACAAGGAAGAGATTGTGTTATCGCGGAAAGCTTATGAATTTCAAAAGAACGAGAGCGGCAATTGACAAATACAAAACCAAAATCATCAAAAGATTAGGTTAGGTTTTATTTCGACATCAGGGGACAGGCACCTGGTCGACCTTGACTTTGGGGTGGGGTTGAGGGGTGTTCTGAGGTGCCCCGGGCAATTTTGAAATAAGAAATTAAAATTAAAATTCGAGTGAATTATAAAAATAAAAATACCGTAATAAAGTTTAATTACAAAGAATGCTTCAGAAATTAATACATTAATTTATAATATATACTTTTCTATAAAATAATGTATGCAATATTAATTTATTAACACAATTATCTGACATGTTTAACCTATTTATATATGTATCCAAAACGTGAAACTATAATATTACAAGATCACCACTGAAAATATATATATTTAAAATTATATAAATTATATGAACAAAAAAATTTAGTATTATTCTTACTTTCATTATCAAAAGAAGATGAAATATTTATACATATATGTGCTGTAATTCATGTTTAACTTATTATATATATCATTAATAAACTTAAGCATATCAATAAGTAATGAATTGCTATCTTCACAATGATTTTTGTTCATATACATATATGTACATATATATATATACTGACAGACGTACAGGCTTATTGAGAACATCACTTAGGTTCATGTTTGAGCATGTATGGAGGCTGATTATCTCAAGATTAAATTTAACTATGAGTAATACGAACTAAATAAGTTTGATTAGTGATAATCATAAAGTGATTTAGTTGGTGAAAATCTTGTTGACAGCATTCTGGAGGAGATAATCAACGATGATCCTGTATGCTCTTTCCGTCGGATGGTAACTGTCCCAAAACAGATATGTCGAAGCATTTTCACAGGTGAATATATTTGGTTCTGTGCATAGAAACGATACCTCTACCAACCCTGTACCGCAACACCCTTTATCCCAAACTTCAAATCCTGCAACACGCACCAAAAACAGGTTAACCCTGGAACCAGTTTTGTCATTTAATGAGGGAGATGTATACATAATGTATAAGAAGAAGACTGTAATAATTAAATCTACCATATTCTTGTGGATTTTGGATCATATCAAGCAATGGAGTATAGATATCTACGTACACCATCCTAGACTCCTTGTTTTTACCATTGATCCTTTCTAACGCGGCTATCACTTCGGAATTGAACAGCTTTGCCATTGTATTGTAATTCTCCACGCACTTCCTCTCTATCCCTCCACCAAGAGTCCTTTGCATCGGAAGACAACCTATCGGTGGTGCCCCGAAATACAACAGTCTCCTTGCTCCTAGTTTGTACAATTCCTTCATTAACCAGTTCCACGAAACCATAAATATTTTAGTTATATGTTCATTAAAATCACAGAGAGGGTACGTAAAAAGAAAAAGATTATGACTATGTTTCTTTTCCATCGAAGAAGTAGTTTACCTCCAAAAAGGTTGAAGCAGAAGTAACCAAAAGTTGAGAGTAGGAAGAGACGTTATACTCCAGTATCCTTGTAGGAGTATGAAAATAGGTATTTGCAATGTCGTTGCTAATTGCTGAAACTATATACACACTTTCACTTAAAATGGTTCTTGTTTTTTCTTCTCCCAAAAGTTTTCTCAGATTCTCTGTGTAAGTCTTGAACATCTCCAATTGTTTATCAGCAGAAATCACTTCCTGTGTGTTTATGATATAAACGATATATGGGTTTAACAAATTATTGGGGAAGAAGACAAAATCAATAAATGAAAGGAATAGAATAATTTCCTTTTACCACAATAATCGATGTTAAAGGATCAAATCCTGAACCGCCAGATGCAAAGTTCACACCGGTCTTGAGGTCTTGGCTTTGAAGATTTGAACCGAGATATGGTGGTAACAGTTCCTTGATTCCCAATTCCTCCGCTGACAAAAGACCATCCCGATCATATATATATAATTTAGGAATATGCTTCAAGTACAGTATCAGATTACATTATTAATCAGATATACAAAAGTTTCTTGAGGCCTCAAACTTGCAACACGAGGATTGATGAAATGACGAACAACACCATACAGCAAATTATGTAATTGAGTTAGAATGGAATGGAGGAAAACCGATATCAAGAATTGAAAAAGAAAATTCAAGTAGTACTGTATACCAATAATATCTGTAGCGATCTTCCCGTTACTAAATCTTCCTGTTGGTTTTCCTCCCGGAAAATCTCTGCCGTAAGGAGGAAAGTTTGCTTTCACAATGGTTCTTATACCGTTGTTATTTCCTGTATCAAATACCGAGTCACCAAAAGCAAATAATGCCGGAATTGTTATATTTTCAGGTAGTTTAATCAGACAATTCGATGTGTTACATGAAAGAAAAATAACTAAAAGAAAAATAAAACAAGAATTAATGGCATGATATGATAGCGGTGTCAAATTGAAAAAAAGCTTCATTGTGGGTGAGAGTGAGAACTATAATATGATATATAAAAGGTGTAATATATATATATATATGAACACAATTTTCAGCAACAAAAACTAGTTGATGATAAAGTAAGCCTTGATTTTGGTTCATGCATTTAGGTGCTGAAGAATACAGTCCCTTTTTTATACTTAATTTGAGGCGAAAGGGTGCGTTTTGGAATTTTGCCCAAGTAAGAGGTATACATATACATCCTGCATGTTTATAGATTCGTTAGGTAATCGACAACTCGCCCAAAAGAGAAAAGCAAACCCATCTGCAATTGTTTGAACCAGAAAACATATATTTATTTTCAGTCATCACAAGAACGTTTTGGCTGAGAATGGCAGATCAAAAATCAATAACTCGGAATTGCCAACAGAAGCCATGTGTTTTTTTTCATTCTTTTTACAAAACAGTGTTCTTCTTACTGTAATTTTTAGGCATAAGTTACTTGATTATCAAAAAAAATAGTGCGTGATTCTGAAATATTATTTTGATAGTTCTGAAAAACTTCAATCAAACTAGGAAAATGTTTTATCGGTAATATTTGTGTTTTAATGTTCTTATGTGATTCGTTCAACTCTTCGAGGAATTTTGTTACTTAACCTCTCTGTTGATATTATACTACAGTTTTCAATTCTCTACGTATACAGTTTGTAATCTACTTATAGTTAACTAGGTTATTAAAAATTAAATTTTAGTTTATAAAAATAGATATCCGCAGTGTCATAGTTTTACGTTTAAGTTATTTACAGTTTGCTTTACTTTAAAAAGATTCTATTAACATTATGTCGTGCATGTGTTTGTTCTAATTTGATTCAGAGTTTGGCCGTATCAACATAAAAGGTGCTATACCACTTGGTCTCGTTCAACAACGTATTTGTTGTATGGTTTATTAGAGACACCAAAAAGGAGTAAAAACAGGGATAATATTGCAAGCCTAACAATTCATGGTTATACTAAATGCAAAATGAAGAATTTATTGTAATGGATTTTACTACATAAACGTGTGTAATTACCTCAAGATTATATTAAGTGCATTGATTTTGTACTTATTTTGAACTCCATGCTTGGTTTAAAACTTAAATTGCTTACAAATTATACGTAATGGTTTTATTGCTTGGTGAAGAAGTAACAAAAGGAGCTCTGAGAAAAAGGAAAAATTCCCAGCACTCTATGGCGTTTGGAGACTCCATTCTTGATACTGGCAATAACAACAGTCTAGTTTCCTTTATCATTTCTAATTCTATTGGGAGCTATTCGACGAATCCATTATAAACCATTATTTTGTTGAATGCCGTGTACTAATTAGAGTTATCTTTTAAAGTATTTTACTTTCCTTTTACTGTTCTAAAACTTTTTTTACGTAGTTTCAATGATACTTCTAAATTTCTTTTTTAATTTTTTTTGAACTTTTTAGTATCGTAATTGTCTACATATAATAAGATAAATCACATTTACGTAACAATCTTTTATTAAATAAATCAATAAGATATTTAGCACTTGGTCCCAATTGGAGTTGTTACATAAGAAGACACTGCAAATAAAAGAACTACAAAGAAAAGTAGATGCGCCAAATCAGAAGAATTTGGGGATGTACTTGGAGATAAGTTCGGAGACTATAACTCTGTAGGTTCTTTCAGAGGGATGATAAGTATCAAAAAATACGTAGTTGGACCTATTTTGACAAAGTGATAAACTAACACGATTGCAGAAAACAGCCACCTCTACGGTTCCTGTACCGCAACATCCTCTGTTCGCCTCTTGAAAGCCTAAAACATTTACACCAATATGAGTAATTATTATACTTGTAGTTAAGGTTAAATGCAGTTTTTCTTAATGTTTTCAGTCAAGTTGATTGATTACCATATTTTTTTGGATGTTGAATAATATCAAGCAGAGGAGAATATACATCAATGTAGATGATCTTGCTATCGCGTAAGGTTGTCGAAAGCGAATTCAATTTCGCTGAGAGTTTGGAGTTGAATAGTAATGCTGCATCATTGCTTTTCTTTGAACAAAGTCTTCTATGTCCTCCGGCAAAAGTTCTTTGCGATGGTACACATCCTATAGGGGGTGCACTAAATACTCCAATTCTTCTTGCTCCAAGTAGATATAACTCCTGTATACGCACAAAAACACCATATAAAAATAAACTAGTGTTTATTTGATAATCATATGCGTCCAGAAGAACATCAAGTTTAACGAAGATGATGAAAAACTTACATTCAGGAAAGATGATGCAGAGTTTAGCATAAGATCAGTGTACGTAGGAACATCATAGTGCAATCTTCTAAGCGGTAACAAGAAGTAAGTGCTTGCGATGTCATTGCTTCCTGATGACAGTATGTACACGCTGTTTCTCACAATGAACTCTGCTCTCTCTTTTCCAACTATTGCTCTCAGCTTATGCTTGTATTCCTTGAAGTATTCTAATTGCTTTGATAATGATAGCACATTCTGATATTGAAAAAGTAGATTTAATACAGATTATCAATTAGTAAGAGATAACTTGTAATATATATATATATATATATATATAGTACGATTAAAATATAAAATAAAAAATTAGTTATTTTCTTCACACACTGCTATTGTGGCTGTTAAATTGTCGTATCCCGTGCCACCTGAAGCGAAAGTTACACCAGTGAGAAGATCTTCAGGTTTTAATTTTGGATCCAAATATGCCGGCACCAGTTCTTTTATTCCAAGTTCTTCCGCTGTAATGCAAAGAAAATACAAAAACACCATTAATTGAAAAGATACAAATTTTCCTTTTCAAGATGTTAGGAAGGTGGATGGCTAGGTTGAAAAGTCTTGACCTCGTTTTAAAATCTTGTACACGTGTGTGTGTGTGTGTATATATATGACATAAGAGGATATCAGAACATCCTATCACGTTGAAGGGGACTTTTCCATTACTATTTTTTCATTGACTTTTCATAGCAAAATAAATATAGTTATAGCTGTACACCAATCATCGACTGGCTAAATAGTTTAAGTTTTTCTACTGTTCTTTATGAGGGTGTAAATTCTAATCCAACTGCTTATTCTATGTATACTTCTTATGAGATTATAATGTAAGATAATAGTACAAATATATATATATATATATAGAGAGAGAGAGAGAGAGAAAGAAAAGGAGAACCTATTAAGTCCGACGGAACCTTCCCGTCGTTGAATCTTCCAGTAGGAACTCCTCCTCGAAAATCCTTGCCATACGGTGGGAAATTGCATTTCACCAAAGTGTTAAGATAATTGTTATTACCTGTATCCACTATTGAATCCCCAAACACCAATAGTGCTGGGAATGTTACATTTTTTGGTATTTGTATCACCCCCTTCGTCTTCCATATTATCTCACTTCCTAAGAAACTCAAGATTACAAGCTTTGCATACCAAGACAAATACATTTTCTTTCCCCACTCTTTACTTAATTTTGTCATTCTCCATCGAATTCAGGTTTTATTTATACCCTTTTCGTAACTAAATATATTTTCTTTCTTTAAGTCATTGGTTGGATATTGCAATTATCAGCAAGGTTGTTTTAGTTTTTAGAGGACCAGAATGAAGCAGTTGTATTACCATGGCTGGAACTGGAATTTTCTTAATAATTTGTCTACGACTTGGTAAACCTACCTCCATTACAGCTTCGTTTTAACTAGTTTTTAACTGTTCTTTTCGTAATTTGTTTGTGACCCAATTGAGATAAACATGCTAAAAAAGTTAATGCATTTTTAACTGCATTAGTTTTACAAATGTGTATGTGTATATCTACATTGTAACAATATATTAGTGAATCAAAATAGTATATTATTTTAGATATATTTACATATATAATTACTAAACGTATGATATATTACATCATATGTCGAACAACATGTAAATTTATATTATTTAACTTTTTATTTTACTATTTGATTTAGTTATAAAAGCATACGTTTAGTTATATGCATATATAAACACTGAAGGCACGTATATATATCTTTCTTTGTTGATCTTACTGAAGCACAAGTCATAAATTACGATATGCATATGCTACTATTAATGGGGATCTCAAGAATACATACATGATTATGCAAATGGTAATCCGATAAGAGCATTTAAATGAGTCTGACAATTTGAAGTAAATACAAAAGTAATGACTCAGTAAGCATTGAATTAATGGGTAATCAATAGTAGGATTAAAGAAATTTTCTTACTTGATGGTTTAATTAAAACTATTAAGAACCCAAATCACCCTTATTTCTCATAATATAAATATCAAACGCATCTCTTTCAATCATGTATACCCATAGATTTTTCTTGACCGATTAACAAATAAAATTAAAATCACAAAACAAACATGTCAGGTGAAGCGCAACAATTTATTTTATTACTACTTGCAGGTTCGTGCATTACAATGTTGATTCAACCAGGTCTTTCCCAATCAACTCTTCAGATTAACTAGTGTTTAGCATCTTTGAGTAGCATTGAAGGGTGTGTGTCGTCGATTTTATTTTTCTAAATGGAGGCCAAACACCTTCCTCTTCTTGTTGCAATGGGTTTCTAAGTATGACTACGAGTTGCTGGTCCATTATTTTTCCTCTAGCCCCTTTCAATTCCACCATTGATTATGAGTTTCTGCAGCCCTCGGAAGGCAGCTCCACCTGCATGTTAGGTAAGTGATTTCGTCTCTTTCATCCCTCAAGGGAATCAACTAATTTCCATTGTTGTTAAGGACGAAGTTTATATGGGTTAGACAAATCAGCAAAGAATTGAGATTTGATTTGGGTGATTCAAGTTTCAATCCATGAGATTTCTAATAATTCTTAGCAAAATAAAGAATGATGATTTTTCTTTCAGTTTTTTTATAGCTCCTCCATTTGCTTATTGTAATACATATTCTCAAATATCAGTGTATCCAAAATTTTATTTTGGCAATGAATTTGGAGATTATTTTAGCCATTGATGGAGCATTAAGTAATCCATTTCAATTAGAGGATGAGGATGATATGAGAACAGTTTGCTTATTACAATTCAACTTTTAATAGTAATTTAGTATTAAAAAATTAGATCAAAATCCACTAAAACATATATGAGAATAGATACAAGGTACAAGATGACTTCTCCTTTTATATATATCGTTAAAAGAATTGTAAATATATATATATATATATATATTATGCTCCATCACAGTTAGCATTATTACAATATGAGAACAAACATAAACAAAGGAAGACAAATATTTCTTACAAAAAATAAGTGGGTGCATCAGAGAAATCTGTGAATATATTTGGGTATGAGTTGGGAGATTATAACTCTGTATGCTCTTTCAGTTGGATGGTAACTATCCCAGAACACATAATCAGAACTATCTCTACAAACTGAAGGACTTAAAGGATTGCATAATATAGCCACCTCTATCTTTCCTGTGCCACAACATCCTCTGTTCGCTTCACTGAATCCTGAAAGTTTACAACAATATAACCCATAAGCATGATTATACTCTTTATTTTTCATTAATTAAAATCGTGATTCAATTAACTTATTACCATATTTTTGTGGGTACTGAATGAGATCGAGCAAGGGAGAGTAAATATCGATGTAGACGATTCTACTATCAAGTAAAGTAGTTGTAAGAGTATCCAATTTATCAGAGAGTTTGGAGTTGAATAATAATGCTGCTTGGTTGTATGGTTCTGCACAAACTCTTGCAAAGCCTCCTGCTAAAGTTCTTTGTGACGGTACGCATCCTATTGGGGGTGCACTGAAGACCCCAATTCTTCGTGCCCCAAGTTGATATAGCTCCTACATTATTTACATTAATCATGCATAAATTATAACAGAAAATCAACTAGGTTTGATCATCATTCACATGCAAAGGAAGTTAAAGACTATCAATAACTTACGTTGACAAATTCGGAGGCAAAGTTAAGCATGAGGTCGGTGTAAGAGGAAATGTCATACTGCAATTTCCTGCCTTGTAGAATAAAATAGGTATTTGAGATGTCATTGCTTCCTGCTACCAGTAGATATAAGCTGTTGGTGACGATGGAATTTGCTCTTTCTTCTCCAACTACCATTGCTAGCTTCCTTTTATATTCTTTGAAGTATTCTAACTGTTGCGGTAATGATATCACCGACTGTTATTTTCACAAAAAAAAAGAACTAATTTTAACTGGCGTAAAAATATATTTACTGACGGAAGAATTAAATCAAGTTTTATCTTCACGTACTACTATACTGGGTGTTAGAGGATCGTATCCCGTGCCACCAGATGCAAACGTTACACCGGTGAGAAGATCTTCAGGTCTTAAATTTGGATCCAAATAAGCTGGTACTACTCCTTTTATTCCCAGTTGTTCCGCTGCAATTCAAATGAAACCAAATAATATAATTTAAAAAGTTATGTATCAAATACACATATATATATATATACCTCTGTAGCTTCATAAGTACTCGCAAAACTTGGAGTGATTCAGAGAGATGGTTGAGTTAAAAAGTCAGAACATCCTAATTTTTAACTGAAGCAAGAAAACTTTTTATTTTGAAGGATGAAGATATGACTCAAAAATTATCAACCCTTATATATATATATATATATATATGTATAAACACACTGAATCTCAATAGTTGCTGTCAAATGCTGTACATGGACCCCTAAAAATTTATGATTTTCAAAGATTATGTGTACGTATATATTTGTTACAAACATTAATTGCAAAAATTAAATTACTATTACCCACCAGTATTTATTTCTTTTACCTTTAGGATTTTCTTTTCTGTACTGAATTATTAAATCATTCTCACATGTTATATATCTTATTTGTGTCATTATAGTAATAAAAAATTGTAAAATAACTCAATAAATATAGAAATCTCGGTAAAACTGTAATTTTCTGACTTGTATTTATTATTATTATTATTATTACTATTATGGAACTTATTTACTGTAAACTGAATCTTTTCTTATTGGGTAAAATACCATGATATATTCAGCCCTGAAAATTTAGATTTGGATAAGTATGGTCTATACATGTGTGTGTGTATATATATATATATATATATGTGCGTGTGTGTGTGTGTGTGTGAATACAGAGAAGAAGAGGGTAGGGTTGGGGGGGGTGGCAGTCGCAGATGGAAGTCAGTAAAATAGTAATGACTGAAAGAAAAGAAGCAGAGAAATGTATGGCCCAATGGGGGTTGAGGATGAAAGCACTGTATATATAATATATATATATATATGTAATTACTTTTTCCATTCAATTCACTTTCTCAGAAAAGACAGTAGAGCAGGTCCGTACAAGAAGCCTACATAGATTTTATACTGCTTTTTTTTTGTAAATATATTCGATATTTTCAGAACAAATATAATTCTAAATTATTCTGAGTTAGCTTTAGACATTTGTTGTATATATTATGTTTAATAACAAAAAATTACTAATCAAATTATTATACTTTGATATTAATAAATCAAGACGTGATAATTTAATATTTTAGAAATTGTTATATTTAACAATAAAAAATATAAAAAAAAATTCTTCTACCAACGAAGTAAAATTAAAATAATTAAATTTTATAATTTAAAAGCATTTGAGATGAGATTATAATTAATCATAGTAAATTATTTAATTTAATAATATAACTATCTATATGTTTAGTTGGATTGCATATAGAAGTATATATTATATTATATTAAATAATGTTTATCAATTCCAATTTTTATAGAACTTGGTTACAAATCTTACATTAATTATAAAACATAAAATAGGAACGTACCAAACACACAGTTTAATTCAAATTCAAACTTTTATAAGAACAGAAATAAAATTATCAATCATTTAAGTAAATTAATAGAACTAACCTAGAATGTCGGAGGGAATTTTTCCGTCACAAAATCTTCCGGTGGGAATCCCTCCGGCGAAGTCCTGACCGTAAGGTGGAAAATTGCACTTGACCACCGTCTTGAGAAAATTATTGTTGCCCGCATCAACTATGGAGTCTCCAAAAACTATCAGTGCTGCCATGGTGTGATTTTTTGGTGTCTGTACCAAACCCTCACTCCTCCCCACTATACAAAACAACATTGTAAACACCAACCAAGACATTTCTGTTTTGTTCAGTTTCCTCTTCTGCTTTCTTCTCCTGTTTCCTTTTTTTTTTTTTTTCTTTTCTTGTCAGTGCAGAACTTACAAAGAACAGGAAAGGAAAAGAAAAGGAAGGAAGAACGAGGGTTTTGATTGTTTCCTAATTTCTTTCGCTCTTGTGGCTATGGCGATTGTAACCAGTTGTATTATTTATACATGATATGCAGAGACGTTCTTCCTTTTTTTTTTTTTTTTGAAATCATTTATTGCGCGCACAGGTGGTGATACAGGATCCACTAGAGGTACTGTTGGTGGCTGATATGTATACATTACAGTCCCTATACACGTCTTTACGTATGTAATTAATATACATTTTATAATCAAACAGTATATATATATATATATGTATATATATATATATGTACACAGTGTCAGATACTGCATGCATAATACATATACAATGTCAACAAACTGATCTGATCTTATTTAATTCAAGACATCCAACCACTGATCATTTATTTAATTCTATGATTAGACAATGACAGCCTTTTAACTTGATCGGTAGTCACAAATTAAGAAGAAAAACTTGATCAGTGATTAATTCTTAATTTATTAATCACAGTATTCTTGCTGGTGATCTAATACACAAACAAAATGGATCTTATATATGTATACATACATACATACATACATATCTGGCTGGCTCTAATATTTAGTCAACCATCAAGGATTGACTTAATTACTTATGTTTAATCAAACATGCATGCACTTGTTGCCCAAAAATAATTTCTAATTAACCGGAGCCAGCTGCAAGTTTTTTGACTTGTCAAACTTCTATCTCAAGCTAAATATAGTTACTTACAAACTATATATATATATATATATATGTATAACTAGTTGTATGCATTGTAACATACTTGTTAAACTTATATATGGGTAAATAATCTCAAGTCCAAATTTGTGGGAGTTGGGTAGAATTTATTGATGCAGCACGAAAGGAAATTTGTACAACTCAATGGGAAAATATGTGGTCACCGTCGATCTACAGAGACATAAACTCAGAAACCAACCAACTATAATTTCTATCCACGTAATGACCAAAACAATTTTAATAGTGGGTAGAAAATAAAATCAAACTATATATGAAAAACTGTAAGTAAATTCGTAAAGAGTATAAACACTAAAAAATATATTTGAATCCATAACGAAAAAAATATATATATTCATATCTTGCGGTAGATTTTCGTAATCAATACGTGACTATGAAATATTAACTTTTATTGAGGAGGGAATAATAAAAAATAAACAAAATACAAGCGTGTGATTTAGAAAACTGATCTATTACGATATACATGATTATTCATAGAGATGTAAAGAGCTACGCGTACAAATGCAGGAGTTTTCAAATTAACACGAGCAAAACTGAAAACTTATATAACGAGAAAATGTCGTCCACTACTAAACCCACTTTCGAATGAACTGATTGTGGCTATCGCAAGAGATTGACATTTTCTGAGTCAATTTCGATATGTATTTTCAAGATCTTCGTTGATAATGTCATATGTATCTCGTAGATTACAACTTGTGTTTTAATGAAATCAACAAATAAAGAGATAAGTACGTGCATGGTGCTTGTAGATACAACATAACCATTATGATCCCTACTCACAAGTCTGAGATCTGTCCAAGTTTCATTTCCACCCGTGACATAACAATTCACAATTAAGCAAAACATAGTCATGAAAATAGATGTATCCGTTAGATTCATTAATTGTATCTCCAGAGTCATGAAAATAACAGTATCCACATAGACATATATATATATATATAAAAACTTTCAAAACATTCCTGTTCACAAAAACTACTAAGAGAACACATTAGGTTAGAAATTAATGTATATAAAAGAAAAGGCATTGGCACACAATTGAAGAAACCAAAAGCTAAGTTGTTGAATTCTAAGTGGTTAAAGTTGCTCCCCCCATCGGACGGATCATTCAATATTATGCATTTATGAAGTTTCTGCCGCCATTGCTAATCCCTTGAGTGAGGTTTTTCCTTGGGTAGGAGGCAGAAACTTCGGTTGGTAAACAACTCGTCTTTATTGCTTCACAATATGAATGATATACCTGTAACTATACTTTATAACAATTAATCTTTTCAATATTCGTATACTAAACTTAAAAAATAATTGATCAACACACACACACACATATATATATATATAATTATATACCATGTAGGTGGTCCTTATTACTTTACTATGCATTGTAAATTAAAGACATCACCATTGTTAGTTACCGTAATATATACGTGTATGCATGTACATAAAAAGCACAGCTGCCGTAAGTATTACTATCAATGAATTTCGATGGATATGTTGGTAAGCTAATTTTAGTTGATTAATTTTTAAATTAAATTCGTTATTTTGTAAATATATTATGAATTTAAATGTAATTAATTTTTAATAATTAATTTAATAATATTAATGATTTAACTCATTAATTTATTAATTAAACTATAATAACTGTAATACATTATATTTCAAAGAATTTATTATATTTCTATGCGAAACGAGTAGTTTATAATAGCTAGCTAAATTCGTTTAATTAACATAATCGATTTTTTTTAATAAATAAAAACAAATGAATTAGTTAAGAAAAGAGATTCAACATTTATAATGGGTTCATGCATTATATATATATTATATAGTTTTGATTAGTTAGTTTTTTGGATAATTAATTTTGAAGTGATAATCTTTCCAACCAACCTGCCACGATTTCAGTGCAGTTGCTGAGCATAATACATAATTAATGGTGAAACAAGTCTAGAAGTCAATAAATACTAAATAGGGGTCGGCATCAAAACCAGTGAACCCTTCATGGGTCTCCCTCCATTTGTATTATGAAGTGATTAACCAGTGATATTAAACACTACTTGTAGAAATGGGTAGAGTTTGTAATTGTATAAATAACAAATAGATTGGAATATTGACTAGCATAAGCTGTATGAGATCATAAAAAAAGTGAGTTGTTAGCTTAACTCAAATAATAGTATTAGAGACGTCCAAGTATATTTAATGGTAGAGAGTTTCGCGAGATTGATAGAATTTAATACACATATTAACTTTCGAAGATATGTAGAGATGCAGATCTTTTCACCAAGTAGGAACAGTTCTCTAATATGTCAGTATAATGAAGAAATATTATTTGCTCGTTAGAGTATATTAATAACAATAAGCGAATTCACATTAATGATCAACCCTTAAACCTCATATCCTATGCTAATTTGATATCTCTACAAGTGTGTCCGATTTCTCAAGGTGTTATAAGATAGATAGTGGCTTCAACAATTTTTCTTTAAAACGATACAATGGACAAGTACATAAGCATTTAGTTCTGGGTAATCATTATATTTATGTTACATTTCGTATTTTGTGTAGTTTTTTTATTGTGTGATTAAAAAGTAAATACCAACCAACAGCCGCAACTACACGCCATATTCGCAGGCACAACTAAATACTGTGTGTCCCCCCCCTCAGACCGCCTCCAAATCAGAGTGCAATAAAGACTACCCCGCCACGTGTATACGCAGCAATTCCTGTGTCTAACATTGAGGAGTAACGGGAATGCAAACTGTAAAACAAATTAACTGCATTCGTTTTGAAAGCTTTTTTATACAGGCATTACATAACTTTTTACGTTGGAATTTCATATACACGCTGAGGACGTCAAGATAATAAAATAAATTAACACTATCAACCAACCCCCAACAAATGGACATACTTGCTAATTCCAAATTATTAATTTGCCACGGTCGCATAATCAATGAGCACTCACAAGGAACGGATGCTGGCAAACCCCACATTCAATGGTCTCCGAACCCGAGCTGGGAACTTGAACCTGCAAAACACCAGAACCATACTTTTATAAACAAAAAAAAATACACACATATATATATATATACAGTTTCCCACTGAACTTGACGAACATAGCTTCATTTCAAAACCTGTAAATGGACAGTGCAGGTAGGACAGGCAACTTCCTTCATTCGTCTCCCAGATCCATCAGACCTCGACCCTGTTCAAACACAACAACATAAATCCTCTTTACTTCGTTAACCAAATACATATAAATCCCGGTTAGTTCAATTTCCGTCCTATTTGTTTACCTTAATTACCAGAATTACTTATTTGTAAAAACTAAATCATAAATGTCCATTTAATTCACACATCTTTAAACTGATCCAACTCCACAATTTTAAATTTCCTTGGAGAAGGAAAGGATTCTTCATCCTTCTTTGACTGAAGAATGTGATCGGAAAATACATGCAACTCGAGTTGAAAATGTGATTAGATCCTTGTATTACCATCCCTATTTTTTAGATTAACATTTTGAGCCAAAGTACCCCATGCTAATAATTGTATGGCACATGTATCCTTTGTTTTCCACACTTCTTTTTGCTAAACAACTACACTTCGGAAGAAAATATTACCTGACAGTGTCTTCCGATTTTTCTCCATCTCCTCCTGTCAAGAACAATTCCGTCAAAATCAAACAAGAGGCATTCAGTTAACGTGTACAGCACAGAACAACTCCACTGGAATTTCATTAAATCATTTTCCATCAGAGGCTAAACTTAGTAAAGCATGGTCTACCTGAAGCTTCCTTGCAAGATCCTCGTGACTCTGCAAGCCAGTAGGTTTACTGGCTGCTTCCTTGGCATTACTCAGCCTCTGAGTCACTTCTGCCTATAAAAAGGAAACAAAACGTTAACAACTTGACGTGAGAGATAAAAAAAAAGTCTTCTTCAAATAAATGACTGACATATTTCCTAAAAAAAAACAAATGACTAATCATTGATAAAGAAAGTAAATTAAAAAATTTCAAGATAATTTCTTATGTATATTTTGGTAGGTGAGTCATATCAAATGTTAACAGAAAAAGTCAACTGTTGCTTGTTAACCAACAGATCAACCATCTATGATACATATACAAGTACAAAGGACTTCTTTTCTCCAAGCCTATGCACTGACGTATAATCAGAAAAAAAGCGGTAACAAAAACATAGATAAACATACCATGCACCGATCACAAACTCTAACTGGCTGAGCATTCTCGTCAACAGTGAGAGCAATTCTACCATGGGTACACTTGTCACAGAAAATATCACCACAGTTCCTGCAATGATGCTGAAAAGAGAGATGGTGTTAGACACCTAGCTTGATGAAAATCCATAATAACAGACAACTTGCTTCCAGAGCAGAGAAGAATATGTACCTTGCGCACAAAAGCCCCAAAATCTGTACCACATGATGTACACTTTGTGACAGCTTCATCTGGTACCTAATGAACATATATGTAAAAAGTTCAAAAATCTACTCTATAAATACTAGTATAAGCAAACTACCATTCAGTTTGAATACAAATGTGCTAGGTTGATAAGCAACCACAAATAAATAAAAGACATATTAATGACATGTCGTTCAATGGTCAAACCGGATAAGTGCATCTTACCCAATGATCTTTCTCTTCATTGGCAGGCTTTATCAAGTTCATCCAATCAGCAAATCCTTTCTTCTTCTCTGCAGACTGCTCAGCTGTCTTTATAGAATCAGAAGGCTTGATTCTTCCACCCATCTCCTTAAACTGCAATAAAAGTATGATGTTGGAAAAGAAATATTAACATCCCAACAAACTAAAAGGAAAAGGGCCACTGCATGTGTTACGTCTCGGAATTGACAAATTATTCTTGTGAGCCAACCTGTACAGTTGCAGCGGTTACTGTGTCCAACAGTGTGCTGGTAGTATAACTATTTGATTGCAACCTGATGCGCCGAGGTTCAATGTCCACGGAGCTCTTGGACCAAAAAGCAAATGTTGATGAATCAGTCACCTGAACAAAAAGAAATATGCTCAATATAAAGCCATGCAACGACAATAAAAGAAATAAATTGAGAGAATGGTGATTAACTTACATCACATCTGGTAATATTTTCAAGAGGATATATTCTCAGAGTCCGATTAGTACCAGGATCAAGCATTCGGATGCCATCTAAACCAATCTGCATAAGAGAAATAAATTAAACCAACCATTTGAAGAAGTGAAAACATTTTTTAGAAAATGAAGAAGGTGGAACTGAATTTTAGCAGCTTGTACGTGATAAAAAAACAAATCTTAATTAGCACAGGACAAAGGACTAATTGTATATATAAAATCTGAAAAGACTTTGAGTGAGACACACTAAACAATCAGAAAAAATCTCAAAAGATCATCCTAATGCTGTAATAGTATCAGCAACTTATGCACACGTATTAAAGGACCGAACAAACACTTTATTCAGCTTGCTTACACATAAATTATTTAGTCAAAACAATACAATGCATAGTTATCAAATTCACCCCCCTCAATGGCAAGGAGAAATTCATCTAGTAGGAAAGGGAAGACGAGAAATCCAGTCAACCTAAAAAAAACCAAACAATTCAACTTGGGTAAAACTGAACACAAAGAAATGGCAGGACATGACATTGATTTCATCACCTAACTTATTTAATCAGACCATCCAAAAACATAAAAATTTTAATTAATAGCATGAAGAGTTCGTCCATAATAAAAATTTAAGAGTATATAACTTTTGACAAAGAAAAAACCTATAATGGAAAATGCACAAATCTATAGCTTGGTGGCATAGCTTTGAAAATAGTGGGAAACATAATAGAGCAAGACCGTGCGCTAATCCCCTTTTATTTGCAAGGATTTCCCCTGCGTTCATTATTCCAGATACAATTTCCATTTTGAAAAAAATATGCACTTAATTGAAGCTAGTAAATGTGTTATGTAACCATTCCCTGGCCACCTCAACAATGAAGTGAATGTACTACATATTTTGCTAGCCTGCTTTAAGATCCCACATTTGCCAATGCTTCAAATTGGCGTGTCCATGAGCACAAAGAAGGGATTACCACCAATAAAAAGGATTGGATCCGTTTCCTCTTTAACAAAAGAGGGGGATAGAAAAATGTGACTGACTAGAATGATAAAAAATAAAACAAAAATCATAAACAATAATAGATTAGGAACAAATATTGTCCAAAGCCTAGCACGATAATCTTCAAAATAAGTGGCAGTGAGGTTAACACTGGAAAATGCAGAAAACAGCTAAAAGGCTTCAATTGATACGATACTCTTATTATCCAAAAACCTAGAAGATAATGTGCTTTGAAATGTACTTATTTTAGGGGGTATATAATGTTAGATTTTCTTGAGATTCAATCAAAAGGTGAATCACACTGGAATCAAAGCATAAGAGATCACAATAACACTGTTGAAATTAGACCCATATCTCATGATTCTTGTCTTCTTAAGAACCTAACCATGTCAAACACCAAACTATCAAAAGAAGTAAAATTAGTCTCATCCTCCTAATATTTTGGACATTCAAATTCATGGAAAATAATATACCTGGCAAAGAACATCCATTGTGCTCTGTCCTCCACTTTCTGGCAATAGCTTGACGCGAAACTTCTGGACCCCACTCTTGACATCCTGCTGAGTCTCCGCCTTCGGTACGGCTTTCACGATCTTAGCCGGAGGCGAATCTTTCCCTGAAGGGAAGCTAATAGAACGACCATAATCATCGAACATGGCCCAAGTAGACGATTTCGGTGCCGTGCCACGAGCCCCATAAGGCTCAACCTTCCCTCCTTCATAAGCATACACCCCATCGCCGTAGCTATCATTATAACGCGGATAACCACCATTGTCAGATCTTTTTCCATAGGGATCAGAGCCCAAATCTGACCTGCCCCTATTATAACCATCGTATCTGTCATCGAAATAACCGCTGCCTTGATCAAATTTCACCGAATTGTCGTACGGATTATCATAAATAGGCGACACCGATGACCCTACATTACTGAAACCGGAATACGTGGATGAGTAAGATGGATTGGCATTAGAATTAGGGATTGGCGGAACCGAAGAAGGAGGAGGCGTATAACCGGAGCCCGTCTGATGCTGATCATAGGGTGGATAATAGGTTTGCTGCGCAGATGATTGCTGATAAGATCCACTGGAATCATACGGCGCGTACGTGGAAGTCTGCGGTGCCTGTGGTAGCGGCTGATTGAAGGATGAGGAAAGATTAGGGTTTGGGGTTATCGGCGATGGTGGTGTTGAAGAAAAGGAAGGAGCCGTAGGGGGAACAGGATCGGGATTTTGAGGATAGGGAGGGTAATTGGAAGAAAAAACAGGGTAATCGGGGGAAGCGTACCCAGTATTGAAGGGTGGAGCCGATGCATAAGGGTTTTGGGGGAGATCGGGGGGAACCGGATTGGGATTAGGATTAGGGTTTGGGAGGTGAGGATATTGATGGTAGTAGGAGCTGTAATCTCCTTGTTGCATCGTTGAAGAGAAACAGAGAGAATGATCGGCGGTTTCTTGATGCTTCTTCTGAATCGCAAGGTCGACCAGGAGTGAAAAGAGATCAAATTCAAGAATTATCAGAGTACCGTGGGGGAAAACTCGTGTGTGGGAAGTCGTCTTTATAAATATAAGAGATCTTTACGTGGCGTGATCTGAATGGGAAACATTGAAACATATTCCGTTGATCGCCTAGTCCGGTCCGGATCCGGTCGTCTGATAAAAAGTTTACGGCCACTCTTTGCGTGCCACGTGTACTCTGATATATGCGTGACGCGTATAATGTGGCGCAAGGGAATTTATTTTGTCTAATAATTAAAATAAAACTTCTATTTGTTTTTTTTGTACGGTGATAAGTAGTAATTAATAACTAGCATTTTTATCATCTTTGACTATTTTTTTCACAATTTTTTTTTTTGATTGTATCTACTTCCTAAATTGTACCATTATCTAATGTTAATTTCAATATATAATAATATATTAGTTATGTTTACTAATGTTAATATAATTATATTTATTAATATAAATATAAATAATAAATTAATATATATATATATATATATATTCTTCACAAACTAATATAATTTACCGGTACGCTTTAGTTGTTAATTTACTTTTAATATTTAAAGAAAAAAAAAATTCATATTCTATATAGAACAGGCAATATCATCTTTCACAATTAATTGAGTTAGAAAATTTAAAGGTTCATAAATAACTACAACATTGTTTATTATAATTTTAATTTTATTAGATTGGGCATTGACTATCTTATTGCAAATATTTTTATTATACGATAATATAAAAATAAATTTAAATAATATAAAATATCATTTTATAATGGTATTCATTTTCTCATTTAGTTCGGACCTGAAACTATACATATTTGATTAAACCAAAAGAATGTAGTTTGGTTCTTGATATAAGAGGGTGCACTAAGTAGATCAAATCATGAATACATTTGTTTTTTACGTGTCCAATCTTTTAAAATATATAATATTGAATTAATTTTTTGATATTCTATAGAAACACGAATCATGAACATTAAAGTATAAGAACTTAATAAGACCTGACTCTTCTTTCTTTTTTTTTTTTTATCATTGACATCTCATAATTAGAATAAAAATAAATAAATTAGTTTTTATATTAGATTGATGAAACTTGTCTGTTCTAACTTATTTGAAACAGTTAACAAACATCTATATATATGAGAGGAACTTAGTTGCATGTTTGTTTCCTCTTTTCTTTCTTATTCATCTTCACATTCTCACTTCTCATGTTGCTGCACGGTTGCATGCTTTTACAATGTGTCATTGCATGTTTTTTTATTATACGATCTACAATAACTCTCTTTTATTATCTTCTATCTCTTATTTCATACATATAAAATTAGAATATAAAATATAAATTTTTATATATATGCGTGTATATATCATATTTTTTAATTAAATTATTTTAAAAACATATTTCGGTCTAGTTCTATTATGAATTAGACAAAATAAATATTAGTTCAATCTTTAATTTAATTTTTAATTTTAAACTTATAATCACTTCTACTTCAAACAAACAAGTCAAGGTGTAAAAGATAAGAGATATGTGACGAGAGATAACAGAAGATAATATGTGAGTCACCCTTCGTAACAATGTTTCCGACTTACATTTCGATTATTATTTTCACCGTATGCAATAAGTCAAGTATCTCTATTGGTTCCACACGGAGTATGAGAGGAAATTCTTCTCATATATATAAATACCAATCTCTCAAATAACTCCAAGGTCTCACCAAACCTACCACTTTCATTCAAAGAGGCATTATAGTTGAGTTTACAAGAGTTCTTTTGATAGAATTAACGTTCTTTAAATTATATCCTCCACCTTAATACCATCTCTTAAGATCAATGTTCTTATTTGGTAACATTATGTTCCGTATAACACAAGAATGAAACTTACACCAAACAAACCCCCACGCCGAAGTGGTCGGCCGGCCAGACTCCTGATTTAACTTTCACAAGACACATCAAATTTACTTTCTTTAAAACCAAACCCCCTACACTTGTACTTGCAACCGCCTAGCTGTAAAACAGGCTTCAATGTTAATAGTTGTAGATGAATGAATGGAAGTGAAAAGATTCTTTTGATATGTTGGATAATTTTAGACTTGTTTGGGGTTTGAGCCATTGGGTTGTCATATCTCTAGGTGTTGTGGGTTTGATAGGGGGAGTTCATTACAGGAAAGAGCAACCCACCAGCCGTGTCACAATAGAGGATTCAAGTTTTGGGCATTACCCAAATCAATATTTAAAATAAGAAAGAGATTTAGTTTGGTTGAGTTGGCATTACACAAATCAGTATTTAGAAAGTTCAAAAAAGAAATGGAACCAGAAAAGGTTTTAAGAGGGAAAAAAAAAAAAAAAAAAAAGATTGTTACCGCACTGTTACCAGTACCATTCTATGGATGAAAACACAAATGGTATGGTATGGTATGGGGGCCGCAGCAGTACGACACATTCTGTCAACATACACACCAGGAGAAAACCCCAAATAAAACCCACCCCCCTAAAACAACATTATGACAGTTCCTGCTACCAGCATCAAACTCTTCTTGTCTTCTCCCCAAAAAGAACTTCCTTTTCCTTTTTTTCTTTTTCTTTCTTGTTAGACCCAAAAAACTTCCATGCTTGCCTCCTTTACAGAATTGCAGACAGGACAAGAACCGAGAAAAGCTTCGCAGGCCTTGCACGAGCAAAGGTGTCTGCACGGCAGAAAGAGGACGCACGATTTCCTAGATTTGCACCATTTACAAACCATCTTTTTCTTATCCCCTTCTTCTTCTTCAACTTTTTCTTCTCTGTTGCAGGAACCGCAAATTGAAGACTCTGCATCTTGGGCTCCGTTGCTCACCACCACTAGTCTCTCTCTCACTTGTTCAAGCGTGTTGCTCAGATCCACTACCATTGCTTCGTTTTCTTTCGCCATTCTCTGCCACGACTCGCTCTCTATTTCTGCTTTTCTCAGGCTGGCTTCCAGCTCCATTGTTTTCCTTGTTGCCTGAGCTAATACTTCCTCCTTTTGCCTCATCAAGCACAAAGCTTTCGATTCCAAACTCTTTAGTACCGCTGCTAGTTGTTGCCTTCTCTGCTCGTGCAGAGCACATCTTAGTCTTTCGTTCTGTTTGAAGAAATAACAAAACCTTCAATGCCCAGTAACGTTAAATTACAAAAGCAAAAGCAACAGACTCAGAAAACGATGGTAGCAATCCAAATTACCCACCGGAAATTTAACAATACAGAATTCAAACAAGCCCACAAAAGATTGTGGTTGAAAAAAACAGAAATTAAATGGGTTATCGATTGATTACCTGTAGTTGGAGAATGCAATCAATCTCTTGTCTCTGCATCTCAAGTTGAGCAGCTAAAGACTGAGGCAGTGCCATAGTCCCGCAGGTGGAAGAGGAAGACGACGAACAAGACAAGGCGGCTTTGTGGCGATGAGGGGGGAAGGTTTGAGGGGGTTGTTGTAAATGAGAGGTGAGAGGGGGTTCTTGGAAAGCGAAACCAATTTGATCAGGTTCGAATGAAGAGATAGGATTGATGAGCATCCAATCCTGCAGGCCGCACATGGGCAACCCGAAATTTTCAGGATATAACTGCGCTTGAATAGCCATTAAAAAGAAGGTGGAGAGAAGAAAATCAGAGCGAAGAAACAAAAGAGAGTAGATGAAGT